TGGATCACAGCGTTGATGTCTTTGATCCCCCGGCGCCGCTCCTCCGTCTTCCGCGTCTTGTTGGCCACGTATTCCTGGGAAAAAAACCAAATAATGGGAAATGAGCCCAAAAATCATGGGACGAGCTCAAAAAATGGGAAAAGACCCAAAAAATAGTGAGAAATGAGCCCAAAAATAACAGGGGGAGCCCAAAAATAATGGGAAATGACCCCAAAAATAATGGGGGAAGCCCAAAAATAACGGGGGGAGCCCAAAAAACCCCAAATCTGGGAAAAAGAGGAAAAAGAGGGAAAAAGGGGAGAAATGGGGGAAAAAGGGATAAAAATGGGGAAAAAGGGGGTAAAGAAAAGGGAAAGGAAAAGAAAAAGCAGGAACAGAAGTCAAAGAAAAAGGAAGAAAGAAAGGGAAAAAAGGAATAAAAGGAAATAAGGAAAAAAAGGGAAACAAAGAGAAGACGATAAAGAAGGTAAAGAAGGAAAAGGAGCAAAAGGAGGAAAAGTGGGAAAAGAAGGAAAAAGGGAAAAGGAGGAGAAGGAGTAAAAGAGGGAGAAGCAAAAGAGGAAAAGGAAAACAAGGAAAGGAAAAAGAATAAAAAGAAAGAAAAGAAACAAAAGGAAAAGAAGAAAACCAGAGAGAAAAGAGAAAAAATGAAAAGAGGGAAAAGAAAAGAGAAAAAGAAACGAAAGAGAGAAAAGGAAAAGAAACAAAAGCAAGAAAAGCAAAAAAAGGAAAACAGAAACAAAAGGAAAAGGAGGGAAATGAGGAAAAGGAGGAAAAGGGAGGAAAAGGAAGGAAAATGAAGGAAAACAAAGGAAAATGAAGGAAAACAAAGGAAAATAAAGGAAAACAAAGGAAAAGGAAGGAAAACAAAGGAAAAGGAAGGAAAACAAAGGAAAAGGAAGGAAAGAATGAAAAGGAAAAAAAATGAAAATAACAAAAACAAGGAAAGGCAGAAAAAAAAAGAACAGAAAAAAAAGAAAAAAATAGAAGCATAAGAAAGAAAAGAAAGGAAAAGAGAAAAAGGTGGAAAAGAAGAAAAAGGCAAATAAAAACTCAAAAGCTCACCTGGAGGAACTGAGCCGTCTGCTGGGGCAGTTTGGTGCCCACGAATTTGAAATGCTCCTGGTGGAATTTGCTGTCCAGGTGGGAGCTCATGTCCTGCTGGTAGAAGGTGCGGAACTTGCACAGGGAGCACACAAACTGGATCCTGGAAATGGGAATTAGACAAATTCCAACCATAAAATAACCCAAAAGGGAATTCCAGGGGATTTTACAGAGATTTTCTGGGAATTTCTAGGATTTTTTGGTGATTTTTCGGGATTTTTCCGAGATTTTTTTGTGATTTTTCTGGGATTTTTTGTGATTTTTCTGAGATTTTTTGTGATTTTTCAGGGATTTTCCTGGGATTTTATGGGATTTTATGGAGATTTTCTGGGATTTTAAGGGTATTTCTGTGACTTTCCATGGGTTTTCTGTGATTTTCTGGGATTTTCCTGGGTTTTTTCTGGGGTTTTATAGAGATTTTCCAGGGCTTTTCCCATTTTTTGGGAGGTTTGGAGGGAGAGGGAATGGTGGGATGGGAGCAGGAATTCCTGATCCCGGAGAAGGAAAAAATCTGTGAAAAAGGAAAAAAATCCCTGAAAAAGTGGGGAAAATCCTAAAAAAGGGGGGGAAAATGGTTTAAAAAAGGGGGAAAGCCCTGAAAATGGAAAAGAATCCCTAAAAAAGGGGAAATATTCCCAAAACAAAGGGGAAATATTCCCAAAGAAAGGAGGATTTGCTGTCCAGGTGGGAGCTCATGTCCTGCTGGTAGAAGGTGCAGAACTTGCACAGGGAGCACACAAACTGGATCCTGGAAATGGGAAGAACACAAATTCCAACCCTAAATCCTCAATTTCCATCATTGGGAAGGATTCTGGGATTTTACAGGGGTTTTACAGAGATTTCCTAAGATTTTCTGGGATTTTATGGGATTTTTCTGGGATTTTTCGGGATTTTTTGTGACTTTTCTGGGATTTTCTGGGATTTTTTTGGGATTTTATAGAGATTTTCTAGGATTTTCTGGGATTTTTCTGGGATTTTTTGGGATTTTTCTGGGATTTTTCAGGGGTTTTCTGGGATTTTTCTAGGATTTTCTAAGATTTTCTGTGATTTTCCTGGGGTTTTCTGGGATTTTATAGAGATTTTCTAGGATTTTCTAGGATTTTCTGGGATTTTCTGGGATTTTCTGGGATTTTCCTGGGATTTTCTGGGATTTTCCAGAGATTTTCTGGGATTTTCTGGGATTTTTTGTGATTTTTCTGGGATTTTATAGAGATTTTCTAGGATTTTCTGGGATTTCTGTGATTTTCCAGGATTTTTCTGGGATTTTTCTGGGATTTTCTGGAAATTTGGAAAAATCCCTAAAAAAAGGTGGAAAAATCCCTAAAAAAAGGGTAAAAAATCCCTAAAAAAGGTCGAAAAATCCCTAAAAAAAGGAGGAAAAATCAAAAAAAAAATGTGGAAAATCCCTAAAAAAAGGGTAAAAAATCCCTAAAAAGGTGGGAAAATCCCTAAAAAAAGGTGGAAAAATCCCTAAAAAAAAGTGGAAAATCCCTAAAAAAAGGGGAAAAAATCCCTAAAAAAAAGGTGGAAAATCCCTAAAAAAGGGGGGAAATCCCTAAAAAAAGGTGGAAAAGATCCCTAAAAAAAGAGGGAAAATCCCTTAAAAAAGGGTAAAAATTCCTTAAAAAAAGGGGGGAAATCCCTAAAAAAAAGGGAAAATCCTTAAAAAAAGGTAGAAAAATCCTTAAAAAATGGGAAAAATTCCCAAAAATCCCCCAAAATTCCCGAATTCCCAAAGTCACCTCTCCACCATCCGGTCCCGGTGCCGTTTCTTTTGCCGATCCTGGGATTTTTTCCCAGCCTGGAGTTTCTGTTTGATTTGGCTGATTTCCTCCTGGATACTCA